AAAACCATTTTGCCATTGAACATGTACATTTTCATATGAGGGATCTTCATAACGCCGGGCCGCCGTTGTTGCATTTGTACCATAATTATCAGTTTCCCGCAAACGATTTAGGGTATTGTGTAAGGGTCTTCTATAGGGAGCGGCAGTATTCATACCCGCCGCGGCAGTTGAATGCATTTCCGCTCTGGCATTAAAACGTACTATATCCTGTGGCAATCCCGAAAAACGTGGTGTTCCATATGCAGACATTTGAGCTGCTGCCGAGGCGGCATCACAGTCAACACAATCTCTGGAGAACATAAAATTAAAATCAATCACCTTGCAGTCAGCGGCACCCTGGCCCATCCACAACGGTAACCATTTATTGACCAACAACCATTGGAGACTTGATTTTGAAATGCGATTTAGTGAGCCATTTTGTTCAGTCATTACCGGATTGTTGGCGGATGAAGATGCAGTCGTTGTTGATGATGTGGAAGACGACGACGCCGTTTGTTGTGCGGAAGTTTTTTGTGCAGAATTTGAAGAAGATTTTTTCGTTAGAGCATTTTTCAGGGAAGACACAGTTTTTTCTGTTGCAGTTGCTGCATTGGAATTCTTTTCAGCATTATTGCTGTTGCGATTTGTATTCGAAGAGCTGTTAAGATTTTTTATTTTCGGTATTGCACCGGTGGCACGCAGTGTTAGAGTTGATGAAGAACTTGTTGATGCATCGTTGTTGCTGCTGTTGTTGTTACTATTGGCATTTGGATTGATTAAGGGTCCGGCCGAAGCGGCCCGACTTTCACGATCTTTAGAAATGGTGGCACTAACTGTGAAGGGGAAATTTAAATGAAGGTGGATAAAAAAGAGGGTTTTTATTATATTCCCAATTCTAATGAGAAGTTATGAAGATATTTTCTAATATATGAGTTGCTACTTATACTTCGAGTGAATATATTATTAAAAATGGTTTTAAAAACAATTCCAACTCATTTTTATTTGCTGTCAAGCTCTATTTTTGGTTGCGAGCTTAATCAAAAAGGGCTATATAATGGTTTCAAAATTTTAATCAACACACCCAAAATATAAACAGCAACCCCAGCCGAAAACATACACCCACCGAAAAAATTCTTCCAACTTACCATTTGGACATAATCCCGAATTTCCCGTTGATAAATTTGAATTTCCACCAGCTACCGAGGAGCTTGCAGCAGTCGGTCCTCCTCCACTACTGTTAGGATTACCCGATGCTTTATATATGTTACTCATACTTTGAGTATTCTCCCCGCCATGTAAACAACTGAAAAATGATGAGGCGCTATTTTTGACGTTATTTGCATCCCGTTGAGCAGCGGCTGCGGCTGAGGATGAAGCTGTGGTACCACAACCGCCGCCATTACAACTAGCTGTTGAAGTAATACTTGAACTATTTGTTGTCGTGGTTGAGCCAGTATTCAGGCGTATATGTCCAACGGTACCAAAATGTGAATGACCCAAAACGGCATAGTGGCCACCGAGATTATAGTGATCGATATTACCACACGATGAGCTGAGATGGCGTTCTATCCGTCCTATACCATGTCCTATGACATTGAGACGGCCATAGACACGAGCAGCCGATGCACCACTGCCACCGCTACCTCCTCCTCCGGTATTTGTATTACGATATATGGGTTCATCGTGTATTTGTTCGTAAATATTTTCATAACGAACCGAGGGTTGATAATTGAGATTGTAATAATTTTGCGATTCGGTGTCATCAAAACTTCGTTGGCGGTGGCAAGATGAGGAGGACGACGAAGTAGTGTTGTTGGCAGTGTAATGACTGCACGAGGCACCATTACAACGAAAAGCATTGAAACGCGGATTTGCTGCGGGGAAATAAGAAATGAGAAGGTATTATTAAAAACTATAAAAAATAATTTCTTCTTACCTGCATGTAAATCTAATTGGAAGTTACGTCTAAAACCTAAACCCGATCTTACAGATCTTGGTATGTCATAATTTGTTGTACCAACTCCTATTCCACCTCCTGCCCCTCCTCCTCCACCGGCAGTTGGACCATTTGCATTAATGCCATTGGCCCGATCATATAAATCGTTGCGATAATTAATGTTGCTCGTTGTCATTCGTGTTTTATTTTGTTGAGTATTATTGTTGTCGGAGTTTCCGGATGATCCCATTGTTGTGGGTGGTTGGGGTTGTTGTGGTGTTGGTGGTGGCACTATTAATTCTTCAGCAGGGGCATTGGCATTATTGTTGTTGTTATTGGGATTAATTGGTGCAATAAGGGCCTCAGCACCAAGTCCACGAGCGGCTGCGTTATAATGTTCAATGGATTCGTAGATATTTTCATAATGAGGATGTGCATTTTGTTGTTGTTGTAGTTGCTGATTAGGATTGTTAGCTTGTTGTTGCTGCTGCTGTTGTTGTACAACACCTACTGCACCTTCGATCGTACCTTCAGCTTGACTATTCTCATCATCCACGAGTCCATTAATGGCAATAACAGTCGCTTGTCTGGAAAACAAATAAAAAGGGAAATGAAGGGGAATTAAAGAAGGATCTTAAAATTATATCAAAAGTTCACTGTAATCAAAGTATCATCCTTGCAGGAAAGACAACACTTTTCAAAATGTGATTTCAATGAAATCTGGAATTTAGATTTGTTACTAGGTTAGGCAATTTCATCTTGGCATCCCCCAATATGTCACCAAGTTGTTTTCCACATTTTTAACTTTTAATTCATCCCGTTCTTCTTACTCACCTCACCAATGCACCCTGCTCTTCTATTCACATGGGTTTATCTATCATACACACACCAGCATAACTGCGTCCGATGGTCATGGCGGCGGGTAAAATTCTCCAGGTGTCTGTTTCGGGACTATAAACCTCAACGGAGGATAAATTCGAATCACCATCATCACCACCAACAACATAGAGTAGACCATCATGGGCAACAACACCAGCATTGCGGCGACAAAATGACATATCCGCCACCGAATGCCATTGATTTGTTTCGGGATCATATGCCTCCACCGATTTCCTTACCATTGGTCCATCATGACCCCCCACAGCATATAGAATATTTTTCAAAACACCAACACCGGCACCGCTACGTCTGGCTGACATATCAGCCACCGGATACCAGGTATCATTTTCTGGATTATAACGTTCCACCGAGGAGAGGCATTGTCGCGTAAAACCATCATAACCACCAACGGCATATAATAGACCATTTACCACACCAACCCCGACGGAGCTGCGTCTTGTTGACATGGAGGCAATGAAACGCCATACTTCAGTTTTGGGATCATAAACTTCGGCACTGCAAAGGCCGGTGGTGCCATCGAAGCCGCCAACAGCATAAATGCAACCATTCAAAACAGCAACACCGAGAGTGGAACGTCTGGCCTCCATGCTGCTGCTGTTAGACCATTGGTCAGTGGTGGGGTCATAGACATCAACAGTTCGTACACGTAGCGAACCATTAAAGCCACCCACGGCATATACCTTGTCGCCCAATACAGCCAAGCCGGCACTAAAAAAAATACAAAATTCCAAATATTATTTTTAGAGCCTATCGAAGTGAAAATAGGTATTGTTCTACTTACCGACACCTACGATTTGGCATTTCAGCAGCCTGATACCATTTCTCCTCCCTCAGATCATAACACTCCACCGAGCGTATGGCTTTTGGTGCTTGACCCCCAATAACAAGGAGAATTTTTGGAAATCCTACCGGTTTTCGTGGCATTGTACGTTGTGTCTTGATTTCGTTTGGCAATAGATGATATGTCAGCGCTTCAATAATCAAATTTTTACAAACAATATTACCCTCCAATAGAGGTTCTTTATCAACATTTTGCGCTATATATTCCTTAGACAATAGTGGCAAACGGACATGTTCCATTAAATCGGCAGTGTATTGTTCACGTATGGTCGGATCATATCGTATCCAATTTATGACACATTCATACACTTTCTCTTCACTGGCCACCGAAATGCGATCATTGCGTATTAATGAGATAACTTGTTCGGATGTTAAATTAAGAAATTCATCGAATTGAATTACTTCGCTGGAAGAAAAGAAACAAACATTTCAAAATTACTTTTAACACCAAATTTGAATTCAATTTCAATACTTACTTAAAATGCTGTTCAATATATTGTTCGGCATAATTCACCAGATCCACACAACCGTGCATATCGGCAAAATCACGTATACCCAAACAATTGCTGGCATCCAATTGTGTTTGCAAATAATCACAACATGCATCCCGCACATCAGTCAATTGTAAAAGATTGGCAGCTGTCAGTAGAACTTGTACATTATCTTCATTAACCTCTACAGTCGATGTATACACATATTCAATAAGCAATTCGAGTGCATGATGATCGACACCCTGTAAAGTAATACGTCCTTGTCGTGACTCTTCGAAACCTGTAAACATTGCATAAAAATATGGACTGCAGGATGCCAAGACCATTTTATGTGCCGGTATTTCAATATCTTCAGCAATAAGGGTTACATCGCAGAGAAGATTTTGTCTGGAAAAGGGAATAGAAGAAGGAGGTTATTTATAAGACTTTCAAAAAGCGGCTTCAACATCACATCGTATTCGAATACAATTGAATAACAAGCTTTTAAAAAATCTTCCTAGATTTTGTTGTTGAGTGTGAGTAAAAGTACCGATGGTTATCGAAAACCACCTCAATAAATTTTCTGCAGATTTTTCAGTTAACGATAATAGCTATAATGTGGTATAAGGAGAAGTTAGTGCTGTTGGCTAAATATCTGGAATTTATTGTCCCTATACTGTTAGTATTAAAACCTGAAGACATAATGGTATAATCATAATTATCTTATTATCTTATTATGTTGATGCACCCAAGTATCAACATTTATCGTGCGAAACCCCCAATCATTTGATTATCTTTCGGTGGTATAATCATCCACCGAAAGATAATCAAATGATTGGGGGTTTCGCACGATAAATGTTGATACTTGGGTGCATCAACAAGTTTTTCAGACTAAGTTATTTTTTTTCTAATCGAACGTTCCCATGCCTCACTTTCCCACCCCTGCCGACCAAGTCCTTACCATGGTATGAGGTTATACTATTGTCGACCTTAAATCCTCAAAAAAAAACATGGTTTCTTAAGTTTTTCTAAAAACAAACATGAAGCTGAAAAAGGCCAAAGCAAGAATCACAGAGACCGACACCGAAGCTCACCCCAAATCGTAATGGATTGCGGGATCACCCCGCTACTAAAGGCATGGATGCCAGCACATACATGCCGATATCACTTTTGTCGCCAGTACGTAAGACACTTCAGGCATTGCTACTCCAAAGCATTCGTCAATGCTACTCAGTTACTGATCATCAATACGGATTCCGGATGCAGGACTCAACTAGAACAGACCGTGTAATTGGGCAGGACGTCGTTAGAACAATCTTCCAGCTAAGTTTGAATCTTTAGATCGCAAATTTTATTTGGACGCGAGTCGTACGTGAATATCTGAAATAAGAAGCCGAAGGCCCGTAGAGTTAAACGAATAGGAAGGGGATATCTACGATGTGCAGGGTGGAGCTGACCTAGGTCAAACTAGGCCTGTTCTTTTCTCTGCACTTCGTGGAAACCTTGGGGATCTTCGGATCCCCCGTGGACCCAAACGGCGGCAATCGTTGGTGAGATCTCAAGCCTCGTCAAGATCAAGCGATTGTGATCCGGCTGTTCTAGGTGTGGCACCTCAGTTATACCTGCTACAAGCGCATCATGTTTACCCCAAAAAAAGACGACGACCCGACAAGTCAAATGGAAAACGAGCTAGTCAAGACTGATGAAAATCAGTCTACGACTGACAGGACTGTAGTTCTGGTTGGGGACGACCTACATGGGATCCTTAGTGCTATCCGCGACAGTCTAGAGGAACAGACTAGGGAACTTTTCGGCCAGCTGGACAGGCTTGTACCGGAAGAGCAAAGTGTGGATACACTTCCGGAGGAACTGCTACAAAATCTTACCCTGACTGATGATGAACTGGACACTACGGTGATTCCGGCCAAGTCTACACAGGAGGTTTGCTGTAGCATCAACAAAGGAAGTGTAGACCCTGTTGACCGACCGAATTCAAGTCTGACTCCAACAGGTCCTGTGTCGGCAAATGCCAACAATAAGCTTCAAAGGAAGACCGCGACTGAAGCAAGGTCCGACTTTGGTGAATCTATCGAGACCCCAACAACGGACAACGATTCAAAGATCGGAACTGCCCGAGAAGCATCCGACGCGAAGCACTGCATACGTGCCGTATCGTATCTTCGCATGTTCGTACGACGAGATGAGAATTTGCTTTCGGAGAGAGAGGTTCACCTCATAAAGGGCAATATGAGATGCATAAGGACGTTCGAAAGAACTTATCCGCACGCTCTTCATCGTGAGCTCGAGAGGGAGAAGATCTCCCTCCCGAAACAAACAGCTCGATCAAAATTCTGATTCGAGAGAAGTAGTAGAGTCGGCGAAGACCACTGTCTCTGACAAAGTTGTGGAGCTGACTTTGGATCCGAAGCCTAGCCCGATGCAATGGAAAAATGCCGGTGAGCACACCCCGACACAAACTGTCATCCTTAAGGGTGATCGACGTGTGAAGTGCTCTGTCTCGAAGCCCGTTTCTACGCCAACCGACAAAGGTGAAGCGAACGAGCCAATGAACTCTGGCACAACGAACTTAGATGCAACGTGTCAAGATCTATCTGGCCGACTCTGTCAACTAAGAGAACAAACTCACTGTTGAACCTGAGCAAAGTTGACTAGTGGATGCTCAATTTCCACCGTCTCTAAGCTTCTTTTCAACTATGGAACTTGCTTTAACCCACAACATCATTACCTAAAGTGGTTAGAAAAGTGCAACCTTAGCACGTAATATGTTTTTCTGTCCTTTTTAAGCAATCAAAACTATTTTCACCTTCCTCCTTAATACTTCATGTTAGCTTATGATAGCCACAGAAGAGCAGAAACTACCACGACAACTCAGAGTAGTCTTGGTACAACTGAGATCTGGATGGTTTAGACGTAAATTGTGGTGGTTCCACCATCCACTTGAAGAGATCGTATACGGCACAATACACTTCTCTCTGTCTTGTCGCTCTAGGGGTGATCTACAATCTGGTAATTAAAATAACTCGTGCACCTATTCAGATCTTGCACCTCAACGAGACAGACATCCGATCATCTTTTCTTCCTTCCTGGGTTCGAGGCCGACATAACCGTTGCCCACAATTTACTCACTCCGGTACTGACACTACAACACTTCAGACATTACAGCCACGTTTTCCCGCTTGTGCTCGGAGTTAGTAAGGTAAGTAAGACGAAGCTCGTGTGTTTAAATTAGTTTCAATTTTTCAACATAATACCCTGTACCGCAGTGTGGAGAATGGTAAAAAATGCAATATATTTTTATACCCTTCTCCGCACTGTGGTACAGAGTATTATGTATTTGTGCATATGTTTGTAACAGTCAAAAGGAAACGAGATAGACCTATGGTTCCTTTTGAGAATATGTATACAATCACTTTCTGAGTCGATGTATGCATGTCCGTCCGTCTGTTGATGTTAAATTGTAATCAAAGTACAGCTCGCATTTATCATTCGATTAAGGTAAATGGTACACCAAAGTCCCTAAATATCATTCGATTTGCACGAAATTTCGTACAGCGTACTAAATTAGGTCTAAAATGTCGTGTGCCAATTTTCGTAAAAATCGGTTCAAATTTAGATATAGCTCCCATATATTATTTCTTCCGATTTTACGATTTAAATTGTGCACTAAAGACCCAAAGTTTGGCGATTGGCACACAATTTTGTATAATGTACTTAAGTTAGTATAACCTAACGTGTGTCAAGTTTTCTTGAAATCGATTCAGATTTATATATATATTTTCGTCGATTTTAAGTAAATGGTGCACTAAAGACCCATAGCTTGGCCGATTGACACAACGTACTGAAATAAATATAAATTAATCTCGAGCAAGTTTTCTTGATATCGGTTCAGATTTAAGTATATCATATCTTCCATATATAATTTCGACCTATTCATGTTAAAGAAGCATAGGTTGCAGAATGGCATGTGTTGGGATTGATGTTAGTCGGTCATGCCAATGTTTCTTCGACGTCTGTTAGGATGCATATTTAGAATATACCCAAAGTGGTGAAGGGTATCATATATATATATATATATATATATTTGGTTGAAAAGCAATTAAATTAAGAGAATAACATGAATTCTTTTGATTGCAAATGGATTCAAAGTCTAGAATTTTTCATACGCCTGAGAGTACAATATCAAATAATTTATAATCCATATAGGTATAAAGAATTCACTTAAGGGAACTCCCCCTCCATTCTCGATTTTTTATTTTTAAGATTTTAAATGGGCTGGTAAATGAATACCAATGCTTGTTAAGGTTTGTAACTTTGCACATATGTATTTGAAGATTTAAAAAGGAAGACAAATAATTTACAAAAAATTTTTGTTGTTGTTTTTTGTGATCAAAGAAAAGTCCTTATTTTTGATGGCGGGCATGATAACTCCTCACTAAAAAATCGGAATCCGAAAATTCCAAAGGTGTTAGAATGAGTACATGCCTTGCTCTCGTATGAACTAGGATTATTGACTTCGCAGAACAATTATCAAAATGGCTTTATCCTAGTTCATACGATAGCTATATACTCACAGAAAAACGTCCCAAAATTTGAAATCGATTGGGTCATTAGTTTTTGATTTATCGTGCCAGCCATATTGATTCGATAAGAATGCGTTTAAAGTTTGAGAGTCACTCTTGCCGTCACTTGATGCTGACACAATAAATCGACTATATCTTCAAGAGTTCTTCAAATTTTGTAGGGACATTCTTCAATTAGTGTAGATTCCAAAAACCGAATAACATTTTTTGACACCGAGAATGGGGGGTCCCCTTAAGTTAGTACAACCTTATGTATGTCATTTCATTAAATCGATTCAAATTTACATATAGCTCCAATATATATTTTCGTCGATTTTAAGTAAATGGTGCACTAAAGACCCATAGCTAGATAGATTGACACAACGTACTGAAACAAATATAAATTAATCTCGGGCAAGTTTTCTTGAAATCGGTTCAGATTTAGATATTGCATAGCTTCCATATATAATTTTGACCTATTTATGTTAACAAAATTTAGCATAGGTTGCAGAATGGCATGTGTAGGTTTACATATAATAAAGATCACATTTTTTAAGTTTGTTCAATTTCATGTCAATATTCCTTCGAATAGGATACATATGTAAAGTGGTGAAGGGTATCATATAGTCGGCCCAGTTCGACTTTACTACTTTCATTACTGGTTATTTCTAGATTATTTATCTACGATTTTTTCCCAGCCTCGTTTTCAACTGCAAGCTGGAGTGATAACAACTATACATAATTGTGGTTCGGTTGAAATTTATAGAATAACGTGGATGCTTTTGATCGCAACCGGATTCAAAGTCTAGAATTTTTTCCAAACATTTTCATATATGTATATATGTATACCCTCATTAATCATACGCCTGTGAGTACAATATCAAATAATTTATAAACCATATGTATAGAATTCTCCTGAAATAAGACAAATCTTTGAAAATATCAACAAAAAAAATATTTCAAAAAGGTATTTGGATTATCGCAAAACAAAATATTTTGATTTTTAGCTTCGTTGTTCAAATCACCTAGAGCTGGTGAATAAACATTGCCCACTGAATTGATTTTCAATTTGTTTGTGTGCGTGATTTTTGTACTTTAAGTAGACAACAACAAATATATTTAAATATTTAGCAAAAAACAAATAGACAATGGAATTTGTTCTTAAGTATATATTATTGTAGATTATTGAATCGTTAAAAAAAGGTGATGGAATTGTTTTTTTTTTTTTGTTATATACATAAATAAAAATATTTACAAACTGTTAAAAATCAACAACACAAAAGCATTGAAATAAAAGAGTTAAGTATTTTTCATAATCGTTGTTGTATAAACTTACAAAATTCTATTTCAAAAAAGTCCACCACTACAAATACATACAAAATTTCATTCTAAAACAAACAATGTCATTGATGGTGATAAATGCTAACCGATGGCACTCGCTACCTATTAAGCAGCTACCAAGTTCAGGGTTAAATAAATATTCATAATGAATTTGACAATAAAAAAACATAACAGCATTTTGTTTTGTTTTTGTTGTAGCTTATGTGCTTTGAGATAAACAACAAACGAGAATTGGCAATTAATAAAAACAAACAAATATGATTAACATAAAAAAAGAAGATGAAGATATGCATACACAAAAAGTAGGACCTTATAAAAATTAAAAAAAAAAAAATCATGACAACATTGCACACAAAAATTACATATGCACTTTGTATGCATATACTATAAGGTGACTGCTGTTGTCCCCCACGCATTCATAAACTAGACATAAATCTCTTGTGTACAACACAACGCATACCCTGCACAATGTGCGTAAATGTTCGACAATGTCTTGTTTTTTCTCATTACTCTCAACGAATTCTTAAAATAAATTATCTGTCAATTTGAAATTTGTATAGTATTTAAAATGTTAGCTTACTTGCGCATCTCGTTCATGGCTTCAAAGGAACGTGTGGTATGTAGTTCATTGTGATATTGGCCCACACAACGATCTTTACTATTCGGTCTTTGTATGTGTTTCTGAGAACTTTCATCCAATGAATTTTGGCTCGCATAACGTAATAAACAGCTGCAAAGACAAGGAAAAAATAAAATATTATTTTATTATTCTTACATGATGACTAGACCTCGGATTTTGCATATTTGCATATTTTTTAATAATGAAGATATCGAAATTCTGATTGGACACAAATTCGTTTCAAAGGATTTAGAATTATTTGAAGGGTTCATATTTTTTAATTTTTTGCATATTTGCATATTTTGCATATGCACGAGATATGCAAAAAATATGCAAAATATGCAAAAAATATGCAAAATATATATGCAAAATATGCAAAAAATATGCAAAATATGCAAAATATGCAAAATATGCTAGGTCGATATGCAATAAATATGCAAAATATATGCATAAAATGTCCAAAATATATGCTAAAATATGCAAAATATGCAAAAAATATGCAGAATATGCAAAACTATGGTCGATATGCTATAAATATGCAAAAATATGCAAAATTTGCAAAAATATGCAGAATATGCAAAACTATGCAAAATATAGAAAAATATGCAAATATATGCAAAATATGGAAAAATATGCAAAATATGCAAAATATATGCAAAAAATATGCAAAATATGCAAAATATATGCAAAATATGCAAACATATGCAAAATATGCAAAAATATGCAAAATATATGCAAAAAATGCAAAATATGCAAAAAATATGCAAAATATATGCAAAATATATGCAAAATATGCAAAATATATGCAAAATATGCAAACAAAATATGCAAAATATGCAAAAATATGCAAAAATATGCAAAATATATGCAAAATATATGCAAAATATATGCAAAATATATGCAAAATATGCAAAAATATGCAAAATATATGCAAAATATATGCAAAATATGCAAACATATGCAAACATATGCAAAATATGCAAAATATATGCAAAAAATGCAAAATATGCAAAAAATATGCAAAATATATGCAAAATATATGCAAAATATGCAAACATATGCAAAATATGCAAAATATGCAAAAATATGCAAAAATATGCAAAATATATGCAAAATATGCAAAATATGCAAACAAAAATATGCAAAATATATGCAAAATATATGCAAAATATATGCAAAATATGCAAAAATATGCAAAAATATGCAAAATATGCAAAATATATGCAAAATATGCAAACATATGCAAAATATGCAAAATATATGCAAAATATGCAAACATATGCAAACATATGCAAAATATGCAAAAATATGCAAAAATATGCAAAATATGCTAGGTCGATATGCAATAAATATGCAAAATATATGCAAATATGAGCAACATATTTCACATATGCAATCATTTTAATCAAAAAAAAAAGAAAATTTCAGGGTAGTTTTCGAATTTGTGTGCTTTCTTTATTTTTAACCTATAGAAATCTAATTGTGTATTTATGCGTTTCATGGTTCAACTGTTAGATTTTTGGGGCATTATGAAAAATTTGCTAAATATATGTATAAAACATGCAAACATATATAACCGTTATATGGCGATATACTAAAACGTGGACCGATATATCCCATTGCCAATACCAAACATCCTAGGAGTAATTATAATATATGTGCAAAATTTCAAAGTTCTATCTTTAATATTGGGACCTAGCATACCGTGCATATATTTTGCATATTGTTGCATATTTTGCATATTTTTGCATATTTTGCATATGTTTGCATATATTTTGCATATTTTGCATATTTTTTGCATATATTTTGCACATTTTTGCATATTTTTGCATATTTGGCATATTTGGCATATTTTGCATATTTTGCATATTTTGCATATTTTGCATATGTTTGCATATTTTGCATATTTTTTGCATATTTTGCATATTTTGCATATTTTTTGCATATTTTGCATATTTTGCATATTTTTTGCATATTTTGCATATTTTTTGCATATTTTTTGCATATTTTTTGCATATTTTTTGCATATTTTTGCATATTTTGCATATTTTGCATATGTTTGCATATTTTTGCATATTTTGCATATTTTTGCATATTTTGCAGATTTTTGCATATTTTGCATATATTTTGAATATTTTGCATATTTTGCATATTTTGCATATTTTTGCATATTTTGCATATTTTTGCATATTTTGCATATATTTTGCATATTTTGCATATTTTTGCATATTTTGCATATTTTTGCATATTTTGCATATCGACAATGCATATTTTGTATATTTTTTGCATATATTTATCGCATATCGACCTAGCATACCGTGCATATTTTTTGCATATTTTGCATATTTTTGCATATTTTTTGCATATTTTGCATATTTTGCATATTTTTTGCATATTTTGCATATTTTTTGCATACTTTGCATATTTTTTGCATATTTTGCATATTTTTTGCATATATTTTGCATATTTTTTGCATATATTTTGCATATTTTTTGCATATTTTTTGCATATTTTTGACATGACCCCAAATATCGATCAATTAAAGCATGAAACGCCTAAATACAAAATTTGAGTCCAATCGGATAAAGCATAAAAAATATGCAAAAATCCGAGGTCTAATGATGACGATTAACGACTATGGCGATGAGTGTTTTCATATTCATAATTAATTAATAAAATTTATGCATATTTTATTATTTTGCAATGCCTTCGGTCTGGGTGACATATGTATACAAAAAATTAACAATTGCAATAAGGGGAATTGTACATTTTACATGACAATAAATTTGAATATTCGGTAGAGGGTTATGGAATGTAAGAGTAAATAATTAAGAATACATATAAAATAGGTAATTTAATACAAATAAAAATACCGTCCAACATGAGGTGGACATTCAAAATACCTTAAATGGATTGAAACTTTTATATAAAGTGGATTATGCCATGGTAAATAGCTGACAGGAGAAAATGAATACTGAAACTCAGGTTGGAAATTGATCTAGGACCTTGATCTTGGACCTTTGGAAAATGTGACTTATGGCCTTCACCACACTGTGGTATAGCGTATTATGTTTGTAACAGGCAAAAGGAAACGAGATAGACACATGGTTCCTTTTGAGAATATGCATAGAATCACTTTCTAAGTCAATTTATGCATGTCCGTCCGTCTGTCTGTCTATGTTTAATTGTAAACAAAGTACAGGTCGCATTTGTACATTCGAATTGTATGAAATTTGGCACAGCTAATTTATTTGGCCCAAGGACGAACCCTATTGAAATTGGGAAAAAATCGGTTCAGATTTAGATATAGCTCCCATATATATTTTCGTCCGTTTTAATGTAAATGGTTTACCAAAGACCCTTTATATCTTTCGATTTGAACGAAAAATGGCAAAGCGTACTGAATTAAGTATAGAATGTTGCCTTTTAAGTTTTGTGAAAATTGGTTTAGATGTATATATAGCTCCCAAATGGCGCACCAAAGTCCCTATGTATCCTTCGATTTGCACGAAATTTGGATTTATAAGTAAATGAAGAACTCAAAATGTGGCCGAATATAGAGAAAAATACATCTGAGAAGAATCGAAGGAATTTTTCTATACAAAAAACAGAGACCTCAGGAAACCTGAGCGATTTTAAATAAAACACAATAGGGGACCGATCAGAACCTCAGTGTTAGAGAAAAAAGGCAACGCAGTGAAACACAGCGATTTTGTTAGAAAAAACCAGTAAGGAAAGTAGTAAAGTCGGACGGGGCCGACTATATGATACCCTTCACCACTATAGGTATATTAAACAGGACTATAACATAAAATTGGATGAAAACAAATGTGATATTTATCTAAATGTGAATCTACCTAGATCTATCCATAAAGTATGTCAATCGACTTCAAACAAATATAAATAGGTCATCCGTTGGTCTATGTCTTCTAGAAAACGCAACTACGTAATTGTATGCTAAATTTTGTAAGTTGTGCAAAATTTGATGTCAATCTGACTAACATGAGGAGTTTGATGCCCAATTTACTTGAAATCGGGCGAAAATATATATGGAAGCTCTATCCAAATATTGAGCGATTTCAAACAAACTTGTCACAGGTTAGGTTATACTAATTTCAGAACCTTTTGTTCCTATTGGTTCCTTAGTACGTCAATTACTTAAAATCAGTCTATAATAAAAGAGAGTTATATCTAAATCTGGACCGATTTTCACGAAACTTGGCAGACATCATTCTAGACCTAAATGATTAGGCTGTACCAAATTTCGTGCAAATCGAAAGATATATAGGGACTTTGGGGCACCATTTACATGAAATCGGACGAAACTATATATGGGAGCTATATCTAAATCTGGACCGATTTTCTCCAAACTTGGCATACATCAATCTAGGCTTAATTCAGCACGTTATACCAAATTTCGTGCAAATCAAAAGATATATAGGGACATTGGGGCACCATTTACATGAAATCGGACGAAACTATATATGGGAGCTATATCTAAATCTGGACCGATTTTCACGAAACTTGGCAGACATCATTCTAGACCTAAATGATTAGGCTGTACCAAATTTCGTGCAAATCGAAAGATATATAGGGACCGTTTACATTAAATCGGTTAAATATATATATGGGAGCTATATCTAAATCTGAACCGATTTTTCCCAATTTCAATAGGGTTCGTCCTTGGGCCGAATAAGTGACCTATGCCAAATTTCATCCAATTCGGATCATAAATGCGACCTGTACTTTGTTTACAATTTAACATGGACAGACAGACGGACGGACATGCATAAATCGACTTAGAAAGTGATTCTATGCATATTCTTAAAAGGAACCATGTGTCTATCTCGTTTCCTTTTGCCTGTTACAAACATATGCACAAAGACATAATACCCTGTACCACAGTGTGGTGAAGTGTATAAATACCTTAAGGTATCTAAGCGATTTGTATACACTCCGCCTTATTTCTAATGACGGTATACATACTTTGATACGGCAAAAATGTTTTTAGACCCAATTTTTCTTTGGATCAAATCCGTTTCACACAATTGGAGTCGTTTTATAAATATCCCTCCCTCTGTCTGGCCGGCTGGTACGCACAATAACTCTCCTAGTTAGTAACCGATTTCATTCAAACTGTGCCAAGTAAGTTCGAAGATGGAGATTACCGGTCCACTCCTTTTGGTACCTCACCCACCAAAAATTATTTGAAGCGAAGGGAATATCCAATTTCTTCGAAACTTTGCACATCGTAATATCTAGATTACGTTCGAAGATGGGTCCCGTCAGTCAGTCCACTGTTTATTATACCTCCCCCACTAAATGCTAAAAAAATTGGCTAAAAATTAATTTTAAATATCACGCGAACGGACTATCCGATTTGGACTAAATTTTGTACAACCTAATTTTATAACCCCGACTGTATAATGTTGTATGATGGGAATTATCGGCCCTCTTCTACTACCTACATCACAAAGGAATTATCCAGTATCAAGTTAATTGAATAATTGATTTGATACAAACATTGCAAATAGTAATAAATTACCAAAAACCTAGATCAAGTTTGAAGATAGAAACCACCTCCCATCAAAAATAATAAAACCTATGTGTAATTCAGTAGACCTCCGCAGGCCATAGGCAATTTAGCTAAAATTAGGCGAAAATGTTTTTTTACCCTCAATAACATGGAAAACCGCAAAACTTTGCTTGTGGCGACTTCAAGTTAGATAATTAATTATAATTAATAATGGTGGAACACGACACCTCTCCTGTTGGTCAATTCAGGCCGTATCTGGTCTATTGCTATATTCAAACGGGCCAGTTGTTGACAGTAGAGATCAGAATGGAAGGAACTCATAATAAATAATTCACTTCCAGTCCCACCAAATGCATAGCAGAATCTTCCTGGCCGTTAGTCCTGGGTTTGGCCACCGTTTGAGGTGCTTCACCGCTCATTGACCACGATCGTTTCACACAGGGTTATCGTATGTGACCATATCTTTTGATCCACAACAGATACAGCCACATACCGCACCATTTTGGAAAGGGGAAATCATTTGAGTCAGGACTGTAGAGTGACTATAATGAGCACAAGATATACTTTTATGGAGTTTTTCAAAAAAAAAAAAAAAAAAAGGGGACCAAAACTGTATCTCCAAAACGGTTTGAGATAACCCAATCATATCATAACCTTTGAAATGATATCCATTTTATATTAACCGGAACCGGATATAACCAGGTATCCGTACGCGAACTTACGGGTTAAATAACTGAGTAACCGGGTACGTCCCCATAATTAGGGTAAAAATACCTAAAAATACTCTGGAAAAAATTTCAGAAAAATCTGATCGTTTTTTACTAAACTAGAGTTAAACCGTGAAATTTATTACATTCCCCTATGTACAGGTGAATAATTCCACTACGCAATGAAAATTCCGTTGCTATCCTCTTTTACTAATTTTTGACATGTTACAAATGTTTTCCAAATCTAAATAAAAAACGAAAAATCGTGAAAAAAAAAACAAAAATAAATTTGTACTGACCTGCCTCTCTCCATACTGCCCTCAGCAGCTGGATTCTGATGATTATTAGCGCCAGCAGCTGCTGCTAATTGTACTCTAGCTGCTGCACCATCACCACCGGCATTCTGTTGTGCCTGGTTTTGATTCTGATTGGCAGCACCAGGTTGCTGCTGCTGCGCCTGCTGTTGATTTACGTTTTGATTTTGTTGACCACTCATAACTCCCAATGATGTCAATAACGCACTTGATATCAACGATATCATACAGTGGTTGCAGTGCAAATAAGCACTGCTATTTTGTTTTACAAATAAATTATTATTTTTCTAAACTACAAAAACAAAATACACGAAAAATAAATAACAGACACGGCGGCAAATGCTTAGCGCAAACACAAACACTTGAAAAGTGCAATGCTTTGCAATTTTTTGTTTTTCCTTGTTGTTGTTATTATTGTCCGAGACTACTTCAGATGTTGAGGTGGGTTGGTAGAGGTATATGGCTAGACTGCTGCTTGCAGCAAGTAAATAAGCAATCAGACAGAAGAGGCCGCAAAAAAACAGAAAACACAAACAAAATGCACAGGACCCGCCAGCACACACACGCACGAACAAAACACCACAGCTGTTTATGTCTGTTGCAAGAAATTTGAATATCTGCTTGTTCTTCTTCAACTTTTTCGAACAAAGCAAGCGTTTGACCCCATCCAACATGTGTGTCATGGGGAGGAAGTAGAACTTCTTAAAATTTCCATTGGCTTCAAATGAACAATTAATATGCTTATTAGCTCTATCTTTTTAATGTAGGCTTTCAAACGGGTTTAGATTTTTGTATACCACCCCACGCCAACAACAACAATAACACCACTAGCAAAACAACATTCGCACTTGTTCGTCGTTCTTGTTATACCGATTTTTCACTTCACTTTCAATTCATTTATTGTTGTCGGCTGTATATGTTTGTTTGTTAAACAAGACACAACATGCACATTTTCACTTTTCTTTAAAGCGTATTGCAATAAATATTATTTTGTTAATGGCGATAAATTAGATTTTCTTTAAACTTGTTTTTCCTATTCGAAAAAAAACACACAAAACAGCGATCGACTTTGGCTCGACTTCCCCACACGACTCAAACAAACCGAACTAGGGACGCACAGATCGATTGGTAATGACAAACAAACCAAACAACCACGGAACGACAACAAAGGCTGACGGCGTTGTAAGCAACGCCGTTAAGTATTTTGTTTTCATTGTTATCGATAACAAACGATAAATAAATAAAAGCATTGTGGGAGTTTTTAAAGACTATTTTTGAAGGGGGTTTAAATCGAGAAGCTTGGATTTTTTAAAGAATATTTTTACAAGGATTATCAGAGATCAGGGGGAGATTTTTAAAGAATATTTTTCTTAAGAACCAACAGAGCAATAGGCGTGGATTTTTAAAGAATATTTTTGAAGGACTATCGGAGCAATAGGCGTGGATTTTTAAAGAATATTTTTTATAGGACCAACAGAGCAATAGGCGTGGATTTTTAAAGAATATTTTTTATAGGACCAACAGAGCAATAGGCGTGGATTTTTAAAGAATATTTTTTATAGGACCAACAGAGCAATAGGCGTGGATTTTTAAAGAATATTTTTTATAGGACCAACAGAGCAATAGGCGTGGATTTTTAAAGAATATTTTTTATAGGACCAACAGAGCAATAGGCGTGGATTTTTAAAGAATATTTTTTATAGGACCAACAGAGCAATAGGCGTGGATTTTTAAAAAATATTTTTTATAGGACCTACAGAGCAATAGGCGTGGATTTTTAAAGAATATTTTTTATAGGACCAACAGAGCAATAGGCGTGGATTTTTAAAGAATATTTTTTATAGGACCAACAGAGCAATAAGCGTGGATTTTTAAAGAATATTTGTTATAGGACCAACAGAGCAATAGGCGTGGATTTTTAAAGAATATTTGTTATAGGACCAACAGAGCAATAGGCGTGGATTTTTAAAGAATATTTTTTATAGGACCAACAGAGCAATAGGCGTGGATTTTTAAAGAATATTTTTTATAGGACCAACAGAGCAATAGGCGTGGATTTTTAAAGAATATTTTTTATAAGACCAACAGAGCAATAGGCGTGGATTTTTAAAGAATATTTTTTATAGGACCAACAGAGCAATAGGCGTGGATTTTTAAAGAATATTTTTTATAGGACCAACAGAGCAATAGGCGTGGATTTTTAAAGAATATTTTTTATAGGACCAACAGAGCAATAGGCGTGGATTTTTAAAGAATATTTTTTATAGGACCAACAGAGCAATAGGCGTGGATTTTTAAAGAATATTTTTTATAGGACCAACAGAGCAATAGGCGTGGATTTTTAAAGAATATTTTTTATAGGACCAACAGAGCAATAGGCGTGGATTTTTAAAGAATATTTTTTATAGGACCAACAGAGCAATAGGCGTGGATTTTTAAAGAATATTTTTTATAGGACCAACAGAGCAATAGGCGTGGATTTTTAAAGAATATTTTTTATAGGACCAACAGAGCAATAGGCGTGGATTTTTAAAGAATATTTTTTATAGGACCAACAGAGCAATAGGCGTGGATTTTTAAAGAATATTTTTTATAGGACCAACAGAGCAATAGGCGTGGATTTTTAAAGAATATTTTTTATAGGACCAACAGAGCAATAGGCGTGGATTTTTAAAGAATATTTTTTATAGGACCAACAGAGCAATAGGCGTGGATTTTTAAAGAATATTTTTTATAGGACCAACAGAGCAATAGGCGTGGATTTTTAAAAAATATTTTTTATAGGACCAACAGAGCAATAGGCGTGGAGTTTTAAAAACTATTTTTTATAGGACCAACAGAGCAATAGGCGTGGATTTTTAAAGAATATTTTTTATAGGACCAACAGAGCAATAGGCGTGGATTTTTAAAAAATATTTTTATAGGACCAACAGAGCAATAGGCGTGGATTTTTAAAAAATATTTTTTATAGGACCAACAGAGCAATAGGCGTGGATTTTTAAAGAATATTTTTTATAGGACCAACAGAGCAATAGGCGTGGATTTTTAAAGAATATTTTTTATAGGACCAACAGAGCAATAGGCGTGGATTTTTAAAGAATATTTGTTATAGGACCAACAGAGCAATAGGCGTGGATTTTTAAAGAATATTTTTTATAGGACGAACAGAGCAATAGGCGTGGATTTTTAAAGAATATTTTTTATATGACCAACAGAGCAATAGGCGTGGATTTTTAAAGAATATTTTTTATAGGACCAACAGAGCAATAGGCGTGGATTTTTAAAGAATATTTTTTATAGGACCAACAGAGCAATAGGCGTGGATTTTTAAAGAATATTTTTTATAGGACCAACAGAGCAATAGGCGTGGATTTTTAAAGAATATTTTTTATAGGACCAACAGAGCAATAGGCGTGGATTTTTAAAGAATATTTTTTATAGGACCAACAGAGCAATAGGCGTGGATTTTTAAAGAATATTTTTTATAGGACCAACAGAGCAATAGGCGTGGATTTTTAAAGAATATTTTTTATAGGACCAACAGAGCAATAGGCGTGGATTTTTAAAGAAAGGATTTTTTTAAAGGATTTTTAAAAGGCCTATCGAAGCATAAGGCGTTGATTTTTAAAGAATATTTTTTGAAGGCCTATCGAAGCAAAAGGCGTTGATTTTTAAAGAATATTTTTTGAAGGCCTATTTAAAGAATATTTTTTGAAGGCCTATCCAAGCAAATGGCATGGATTTTTAAAGAATATTTTTTGAAGGCCTATTTAAAGAATATTTTTTGAAGGCCTATCCAAGCAAATGGCATGGATTTTTAAAGAATATTTTTTCAAGGTCTATCGGAGCAAGAGGCGTGGATTTTAAAAGAATATTTTTGAAGGCCTATCCAAGCAAAAGGCGTGGATTTTAAAGAATATTTTTTGAAGGCCTATCCAAGCAAAAGGCTTGGATTTCCGTTATTTATAATTTCCCATTTTTTATAATTTCCGAAAAAAACTACAAATAGTCCCTATTATCATCCTTCCTATATCCTTTGTGTGGACAGTTACATTAACAACAAAGCTTTGTCCTTTAAAGCTTGAAGCTCCATTTTGATGTCGATAACACACCAAAAATAAAAAACCGAAGTAAAAGCTTTCTTTTTTTTCTTTTTGCAAGAGTCAAGTGTAACTTCGTATCTCCTTCAGTCCTTTGTGTCAGTTTTATGTGAACGGTCGTCTCAAATCGCGTACGCGGAAAAATCCTTACGGATATTAACGAACGAAACGAAAAAAAAAAACATTCCTCAATTTGCATGGTCATAAAAAAAAACAAATCAAAGCAGCTGTTGTTTGGGTAATAATAATTTTGAGAGTTTTGAACAAAGAATAAATGCTGATTTGTTTTAAAACAATTGTTTGTTTATGTACATTTGGACAATAAATAAATGTCATTTATTTGCAATCATATGTTGCATTTCAAAAGAAGAACATTATGCGAAATTAAAAAAAAAAAAAACAACAGTGACAACAAAAACAGTTTTTTTTCGCACAAAATTGTGGACGCCAAGTGAAAGAACCGGCCTCAGAGAAGAAATAGAACGTGGCGTTTAACATGCAACAAGAGATGTGAGAATGAGAACAGTGTTGCCGTTTCAATTTTAATCAGATAGTGGCAAATTGTTTATATCAAGCGACCAAAAAATTAAAATCTATTAAATAAAAAGAAAGGTATTTTTATACTGTAGAAAACTATGCTGTGAGGATATTATGTGGCCTCAAACGACTAGCTGAATCGATCTAGAATGTGTCTGTCCGTCCGCCCATTCATTATTATTTTTATTTAAAATTCACTTTCTAAGCCGATTTACGCATGTCCGTCTTTAGATGTTAAATTGTAAACAAAGTACAGGTCGCATTTATGATCCGATATGGATGAAATTTGGCACAAGTCACTTATTTGGATCATTGGTCTATTGAAATTGGTGAAATCGGTTCATACATACATAATTTTCCCCAGTTTTATGCAAATGGTACACCAAAGAATCTCCTCGATTGACA